TCGTTTCTATTAATTTTATGGTGAGATTGAGAGTAAAAGCACGAAGGGTGATGCCGTGCATTTTTCCTTACTGTATTCACTATTCCTGTTGATTCATGGTATATTGACTGCTCCGGTGATCATTCTGTTGTAGTTCTTATCTTATATTCCCCTCAGTATGTTTTTTCTCCTGACATTTCCTGTTTAGTTCTTCATTTTTGTTATTTGCATATACACTGTTAAATTGTACAGGTTGATTTGTAGGTGTCTTGCCTTAGCCTCGTCACTACTTCGTCGAGGTTAGGCTCGATACTTACCAGTATATGGGGTCGGTTGTACTGATGCTGCACATTGCACTTTTTGTGCAGATTTTGATATCGGCTCAGGTTGATCGAGATTTGCTACTGGTCTCTGTCCGGAGACTCAAGGTAGATCTGTCGGCGTTCACAGACCTTGAAGTCCCCATCTATCTTTTATGTCCTACTGTTTTCTTTCATTCAGACAGTTGTATTTCTTTCAGACTATTACTTGTAGTAAATTCTAGAATGTTCGTGAATTGTAACTCCAGATCTGGGTGGTAGTAATTAATACAGTTTTACGATATTCCGCACTTATTATATTTCATCTTAGTTAATTATTATTATTTACTGAACGAAAATAAGGAATTGGTTTAACGATTTTTCTAACATTGGCTTGCCTAGCAAGTGAAATGTTAGGCGCCATCACGAACCTGTCGGTGGAAAATTTCGATTCGTGACAATATTATTATTGTTTTGATTTATTAAAAGGCGAGATCCTTTCGTGGGTCAATATGCCTGGTAAATTGGATAATAATAATAATGTACATTGACGAAGTAATAGTTAGTTGATGGAATCCATGTCTCGGTCTAGAGATTGATGATACACCTTTATGAAAGCTTATAAGTTTTCATGTGTAAACCCTGCAGGTGAATTTTATATCCGTCACATGAAATAAGTTAAGCGAAAATCTAAAGGAAATAATCAATGAATTTAATTGTCAGTAATTTAATTTATTTGATTAGTATCTGAATCTTAACATGAGGAGTTAAATAAGGTTTAATGGAAGAATTTCGAAATTGAACTGAGGAGTGTAGTTACGAATTTTTAGTGGAATAATTCATAATTTATTATGGTAGTATTAATTCGAATATTTCGAATTAAGTCCATAATAGGAAGCCTCGTTAATTAAATATTGCGGTCCCTGTTGTGCCCGAATAATTAAGAATTAAATGGAATTCTATTTCTTGGTGGAAAAGGAAGATCCTACAGGTTTAGGAAAAGGTTTTAAACCCTAAAACCTATGGCTATATAAAGGAGTTTTATTCCATAAGGAGGCTATGGGTTTTACTACACGATATTCCTAGGGGAAATTCGCCCACACGAATTTTACTAATTCCGGACATTATTCGGGTCACACAGCAGAAGACTGTGGAACTGGAAGACGGGCTCGTAGACGATTTCGCTCTTACTTGAAAGCTCTTTTCGCGATCACGGTCACGTTTCAAAATATAAGTATCGATTTTATGTTTGATTAAAATCTATGATTATGTGTTGTCTATATTATATGCAAGTGATCCTGGCTATTTGCTTCCGCTGTTTATACCTATTTTTCATCAAGATGGGCAAAAGTTGATCCCGACACTAATATCATAAAATAATATTCTTTGGCTCGGGGAAGGGGGCCTATATATAATGAGCCACAGATGCTGGTTTGCACTAGGATTTTAATTTTTAGTGATACTGCCAACAGCAAATGGTGAGGGTAATACCACCAAAACAGAAAACACCAATAGAAAGTGTTATGCTGAGGGAGAAGAGAACATGAAATTAACAGCAACAACATAACAGAACAAGGAAATTAACTTTTCATTTGACCTCTTATGAATTGCAAGTTCTTAAAAATCATTTCATGAAAAGAACACTTTGAATAGTCATATTATTTAAACAGTAGAAGGACCATGTTGCAGTTTTGGTTGGATGGTGGACAAGATAGTATGTAAAGTAGCATAGACACTAATTTAAACATACTAGTACTGTTTCTTTAAAGTAGTGTTTCCTACTCTTGAACTATGACAAAAGCTCCTCTTTTGTAGTCTCCTAATTATTAGATCATTGATTTTAATTTCTTAATTACAAATTCCAATTCATTTGGAAGGTGATTTCCCACCTCTTAAATTCACTTTATCAAACCAAAGGATCATAAAATACTCCCCACTTTCGTGGTATCCACTGACCATTAAAAAATGACAACCCAGTGCACTAAGCTCAATCTATGTACGAGATCCGGAGAAGGGCCGAATCACAGCGGTCTATCGTACGCAGTTTTACCCTACATTTCTGCAAGAGTATGTTTCCATAGCTCGAACCCGTGATCTCCTGATCACATTATAGCAACTTTACCAATTATGTCAATGCTCAACTAACCATTAAGCATCTCAAATATGGAAATCAAGTGAACACCTTTTTTTTCTTCTTCTTGATAACAGCAGTATCCAGAGCCAGTTTGGGTGCATCTTAATTACTCAACGAGAACCTCTCACAAACATAAGATATCGAGTGACTATACCACAGAGGCTTAGCCAGATCGAAAGAAATAATCAAATTTTAACATTGAATAGTTTAGCACCAATGACAGGTTTCGATGAACTATTTGCTGAGAAAGATTCAACCATTATTCCGTACGTGATTGAAAAGAGGAAGAACTAAATGATGGAATTACTTTTTTCTCTCTCTTTCTTGTTTGAAAAATAAAAGAACATAAAGAGAGCATCAAGTATCTTGAGAAGTTAACATTTCCAATATTTAGGACGGTATTTTGCCAAAATAAATTTGGTTTTTATTTGGCAAACATATATTTGGCCATAGATTTTGTCTATATTTGACAAAATTTTAAATCCCAAAACTAGCTCAATAGCTGGTTTTGGGCCAAAATATCACTATTATATTTTTTAAAAATTGCCCCAAACTTTTGTATTTTATAAAAGAGCCCACCATTTATTATTTTGTAACAATGTTATTTTGTCTTCTGTGTATCATGTAATTCATTATAAAAATGATAATTTTTAATCAAATTTATTTATGTTCAGGACTCTGGTTTGCGATAATATAATGAATGTCATTAATAATGGTATTGTAGGGTATTTGTGATAGTTTTTAGAACTTGTGAGCATAAGTCATATTTCATGTTTTTCCAAAATAAATTTAAAAAATATATTTTGAAAACTGATGTCCAAACACACTTTCATCTTCAAACTAAACTTCACCCAAATCAGTTTTTTCAGAACAAATTTGAGAATCTAAGTCAAACGCTACCTTAGAATTCTTTAGGAACATGGCAGTTAGCCCTAAGGGGATAAAAACTTACTGTCAAGTTGAATCATATGAAAAGTAGATAGAGCATAACGTGTCACTTCATGAAGTGGATATTGACTCAGCACATAGGCAGCTACAACCTATAATCATGAGTTCAATCCACCCCACTATTTTCATTATGGAACATTAATATATATGCGAAAAGTAACTAAATTTCAACAAAATTAAATTATGAATTTGTAATATTAAAAGTGCAATGTGTTCAGTATATACTACGAACTTTAAAAGCTGAACAATCAAATGTAAATCCTGACTTTGACTCAACATTTATTAGGACTAAACTAGACTATTGAATTCAAGGTCTTCCCTCTTAATGCCAACTGCCTTTTTCTTTTCTCTTGTTAATAATCATGAACTGAACTCTGAATTAGAGGATACAAGTCCAAGCTGTAATACTGTTTCTTCTACAGAGCTGAAAACAAGGAACTACAAACTAAAACTACCACAATTTTCTTAAGGAACTACTTGATTTATTGCTACCATTATAATCAATAATATTAATATGTTCTAGCTGAACGGTGGCAAATGGACGGTTTGGGCTTAACTTGGGCTGGTTCAGGCTGAACCTCCTACAGCTCTGAATTTATCATGAAAGGAATATATGCTTTCAACATCAAACACACTTGAAAAGACAACAGATGATCGATCAGGGCGAAGCAATAGATCATAACTCTGTTAAATAACGAGCAGCCCTCTTTTGGTTCCAGTGCTTAGTAATATGAACTAATTTAAGCATATCTTGTTCTGGTAGTGGCATTTTTCTTGCTTTTTCTGAAAGAACATGGAATTGATTTTGAGTATTCTCCAAACTGATCACATAGCATTGTACTGACCAAACTGGAGTCCCTGCAGAATAAAACTATGCATTCCACTTTCATGTAACTTTAATCCAAATGTCTTGAATGCTATATCTGCTTCTTGATTTGGCAAATCATACTCATATAAACCTTGTTCTTGTGGAGAAGGAGCAGATTTGTCTTGAGAGATAGAGGATGTATGATTCTCGGGCGAAGGAGACGTCATTTCTGTAATATTGACAGTGGTAATATCATGTATACTTGATCTCCTCTTATCTTTACCTCCAGAAAGTTGTCTTATAAAGTACTTCTGAGCATGACTAGCTACTTGTGTTGGTGTCCTTGTGGTCACATAATTGCGCGAGATATTTCTCCAATCTCCTTTTCCATACTTTTTTAGCCCCAACAGAAATTGCCTGAGCAAAATGTAGTAAGCAATATCAATATTGCAGGAAACAGAATCATCTGTAGAATAGAAAACACTTGATGAATTGCAGTAGTTTAAAGGGGAGTCTCTCCGTGTGACCTATAGGTCACGGGTTCGAGACGTGGAAGTATCCACTAATACTTGCATTAGGGTAGGCTGTTTACATCACAACCCTGGGGTGCAGCCCTTCCCCAACCCTGCGTGAACGCAGGATGCTTTGTGCACTGGGCTGCCTTGATGAATTGCAGTAATAAAAGGGGAGTCGAATTGCAGTAGTAAAAGGGCAGTCCGGTGCACTAAGGTTCCATTAAGAGCAGGGTCCGGGTAAGGCCGGACCACAAGGGTCTATTGTACGCAACCTTACCTTGCATTTCTGCAAGAGCCTGTTTCTACGGCTCGAAACCGTGACCTCCAAGTTACATGTCAACAATTTTATCAGTTACGTCAAGGCTCCCCTTCAATGAATTGGAGTAATCTGGATTAAAAGCATTTATTTTTACAAAACTATGATGACATATAGTTTTGGACTTGCATTACTGAACTAAACTTTATTATCATTTTGAACCATCTTTACAGTAAAAAAACATAGAAATGACAATGTTAAATTACAAAGCTGAAACATGACTTCTTTTTTTATGCTAGAAGAATCAATTACAGTCAAACCTCTTTATAACAACCTTATTTGTTCCTGATTTTTCGCCTCTTATAGCGAAATACTGTTATAAACAATATATATTATAACATTATATAAAAATTGGTTCCATGAAAAACTTAGCTTTTATAGTGAACGATTGTTATATAGCGATGCTGTTTATAGAGATGTTTGACTGTACTTGTGTTCTTCCTCAGTCCATGGCACTCCCTTTTTCCTTTCGTGTTCAGAAGGTCGCGTTGATGTGTTTCGCTTCCCAGACGGACCACAGAATCGCTTGTTGAGGTCGTGGAAATCGCCTTCTTGATCATGATTAATCCACTCCAATGTGAAAGAATTAGTACAAGTTGTGTAGCCAGGTATTGGTATTAAACCTGCCTCAATATCACTAATATCTTCTACTAATTCTCTATACTGTTTGATCACATCATTCACAGTTTTTCCAGGGATCATTGCTGCTACATTATACCATCTATCTGGAGTTTCCTTATCAAATAAAGCTAGTGCATCCTCAAACCTCTTGTTCTCTTCAGTAGTCCATTTTGTTGTTCCCTTGTTTTCTTCAAATAACCAATTTGAGTTTCTAAGGTATGTTGTAGCAGGACAAAGAAATCTCATTTCACTGCTCATGTTTTCTTGTTCATAGAAAACTAGGGAGGGTTGTTTGTTATGGCTTCACTGGCATTTTTAATAATGAAGCATTTGAGGGGGAATCTGAATAAAACTTTTTGACAAGTTGTAGTATAAGGTGAGGAATTTAGAAAATGGACCACCCCAACTTTCCAAAACCCAAGGAAAATTCAGTACACTGTAGAAAAAAGTAGATCTCGCTAGTGAATGATTAAGCATTTGAACTCTTAAGCAGAGCTATAGATCAGATGGACATCTATAATATAAACTATAAGTCTATGAGAAGCTATGTATAAAAATAAAATAAAATTTTTTGTCTAGATACTGGGACATACATGTATTAGAGAATATAACTGTCTCCGTTGGATGCTCAAATTCTTTCGCTATCATTGCCTTATACTACTAAGACAAAAAGGACAACCTGTCATTTGATAAAGGTGCCTATTGAGGTTTTTTTCTTTATTTTTTAACAAAGGTCTCTCCAATTCAATCAATATGTAACAACATGTAATGCCAATATATTGATATCTAATTAGGGATTTGAATTCTTATACATTTGTTTATCTGACAAACTGTGAAGGGGTTGCTAGGAGTGGTCAGAAACATGATTATATAATTGGACTTGCAGAACCAAAAAGAAAAAAGGAATAATAAAGCAAAAACAAAAAAAAAAAAAAAAGGAAAGAAA